GTTTCAAGAAGGAGAGAAATTAGATGTTTTGGTTCAGTCTGACATCCTTTACCTGAAAGTTCCTATTAATCTGGATTCATAAGCCAGATTTGGATATTTAAAAAAAATTTCATTCTGTATTTATGCTTCCTTCAGTATCTATATTTGTAGTTACAGGTAAAAGTGCTAATGTTTAGTGGAGGACTGAATAGAAGGGCCAAGAAGTGAGATATTTACCGCAGCCAGGCTAGGACAGTAAGGGTTTGGTTTGGGACCAGAAGAGAATTGACAGCAAACCAGGAGAATAATGAAAGTGGATGCATTTAGATGTAGGTAGGATGATTAGAGACTTAATTTTAAGAAGCTTGGACATCTGAGACATAATACATAAATAAAGCTCCTGTAGCATTTATCTTCCTGAACTCCTATTTTTTCATTTTTTTTTTTTTTTGTCTTGATCTAGGAACTTATTCTACATTTCAGATAATACACACAACTAATGATACACTTAAAAAATGACTACTGAACAAAACCGTTTGCCAACATAGAATCTGTAAGAAGAATACACATAGTATTAACTAAGTAAACAATACACTCTGAATATACTGAAGCAGCAGGTTTCTATTTTAATAATTGAGCTTGCTGTTTGAGTGTTGTATTGGATTCTAAAACAGTTTTGCTTGTACTGACTGTGCTGTGATTCACTTTGCTGGTTGTTGCTGCCCTCTGTTGGACTAGCTCAGGAAATGTAGCTTTTTTCCCTCATGCATAGTGTTTGTTGTCCTTCCCCAAATTGAACCCTAAAACATGGGTAATTTTTTTTCTTTTTTTTTTTTCTTTTCTTTCTTTTTTTTTTTTTTGGATATGGAGTCTCGCTCTGTCACCTAGGCTGGAGTGCAGTGGCGTGATCTCTGCTCACTGTAACCTCTGCCTACCAGGTTCAAGCGATTCTCCTGCCTCAGCCTCCTGAGTAGCTAGGATTACAGGCAGGCACCACCACACCCGGCTAATTTTTGTAATTTTAGTAGTGATGGGGTTTCACCATGTTGGTCAGGCTGGTCTCAAACTCCTGACCTTATGATCCACCCACCTCGGCCTCCTAAAGTTCTGGGATTACAGGTGTGAGGCACCGTGCCCGGCAGACAATTTTTTTTTTTTAAGATAAAATCTGTTTCTGATGATGCCCTAGGAAAGCAAGGGAAACTGGCATCTTCCTTCATATATGTGTATATGAAGTGTGTATATATGAAGTTTTATATATGTATAAAACTCCCATTCTTTTCTATCTAAAGGCGAGAGTTAGTGGACATTGAATAGGAAAAAGGCACAAGAATTTGGGGAATGCAAAGATATGGCGGCTTTTGGAGTCTGGATGCCTGAGTTCTGTATCCAACTTATCCCCTAATCATATGACCTCAGTGATTTACTTCACCTGGCTGGGCTTAAGTCTCTTCATTGATATAATGAAGAGATGGAATAGACTTGGAGAGTTTCTCCAGGGATTGATATTTTAGGGAGGCAACACTAGATTTTAGTATTTGTTCATAGGAGATATAATGACTAAGTTTCAGGCTCTGCCATCAAGCAACTTAGTCTGGAAAGGGGTAGAGGAAACACAATCAAAAGACAATTGCAATCCAATTTTAGTGCTGTGAGACAGGCAAGTGCCTATTACTATGGAAACACAAGGAAAGGTACATATCCATTTAGAGGAGGGATCATTCCGTAGGGCCTGTTGGAGTTAGCCTTGAAAGCACAGTCTAGGCTGAGGAGGCAGCAGCCTAGGGCAAGTCTGGGGCATTGAGACAGTGTCATCTGTTTGGAGATGAAGATGGAGTTTGAGGCGGAGAGTTTGCTGAGAAATTGAGACTGGGGGAAAAGCCAGGAGAGTCATATGCCATGCACAGGAATTTGGATTTTAACATAGGGCAGTGGAGAGCGATTGAAGGCTTTTAAATGGAAAAATAACATGGACAGCTTGGCATTTTAGAAAGAGTTCTCTTGGATATAGTATGCAGAATGGATGTGGTATGGGGCAGATGGGACTGAAGGCAGGGAGATCAGTTAGGAGGCTGTTGGAGTAAATCAAACAGGAGACAATAATGGTGTGAACTTAGGTAGTGCTAATAGACATGGATGGAAGAGAGACGAATCAAGAGTCTGTAGGCAGAAAGAGCAGGTTGCTGGTTTCCCCCAACACTTTTTTTTTTTTTTTAACTTAAGCTTCAGCTGTGAACAATTCAGCTGCCATTCTTCAGACTCAGGTTCTGTTATCTGCGTTACATCCATCCTAGAGTTGTTTGCTTGTTGCTTGGTTCTGAGGGAACTCTTTGAGTTTGGGGGACAAGATTTTGAAAGCAATTGCTCTAGGAGCAGGTAAGTTCAACCTTGGCTATGGTAACCCAAATCGTATGCATTCATCCCTTTTGTGCTTGTTTCACCTTCTGTATGCCAAGGGACTTAGGGGTGGTGACAAAAGGAACTATGTTGTTGGTTGTCTTGGGTGGTGCTTTCTGCCTCATCATCCTTCTGCCTTGCTTCTACTATGTAATCAGAACACATGAAGTAACTGTAAATTCCATGGACATTTTCTCATGGCAAGATTCTCATGGTTTGGGTGAGTGATTAGCCCTCAGCCAGTGGAAGCTTGACCTGTTCTGGACAATGGAGGTTAAAGTTTGTTTGCTTGTTTGTTTTATTTTATTTTATTTTATTTTTTTGAGACAGAGTCTCCCTCTGTCGCCCAGGATGGAGTGCAGTGGCCGGATCTCAGCTCACTGCAAGCTCTGTCTCCCGGGTTTATGCCATTCTCCTGCCTCAGCCTCCCGAGTAGCCGGGACTTACAGGCGCCCACCACCTCGCCTGGCTAGTTTTTTTGTATTTTTTTAGTAGAGACGGGGTTTCACCGTGTTAGCCAGGATGGTCTCAATCTCCTGACCTCGTGATCCGCCCGTCTCGGCCTCCCAAAGTGCTGGGATTACAGGCTTGAGCCACCGCGCCCGGCGTTTGTTTTATTTTGTTTCAAAAGCACCAGGTTGGTGAAAAATGGACGAAGTATACATTCACAGTTTACACTGGATTGAACTGAATTGTGTTATATGGGGAACGTGAACATAATAATGTAGATTTTTCTGGTCTGTAAAAGAGGAAAAATAGCTTTGTGGCAGAAACGGAACTAGTTTTTCATTAGTTGGGGAAGGTTACTCAAGAAGCATTTACCAACTGAGTGTGGTGGTATGCACCTGAAATCCCAGCTACACAGGAGGCAGAGGTGGGGAGATCACTTGAGCCCAGGGGTTCGAGACCAGCCTGGGCAACACAGGGAGACCCTGTCTCTTTTTTTTTTTTAAAAAAAGAGATTTACTGTACGCTTCTAAGGACATTAATGAAAAAAAATATTGTTTAAAATTAAGCAGGATGAAAAAAAATTCCCACTTTCCCAGACTTGCTCATTCAGACTTTATTTTTTTTGCAGGGGGTTGGGGGGCAGGAGGGGTAAAGTATAACATGTATGCAGAAGAGAATGTAAAATGTACAGAATAATTATAAACTAGACAGTCATGTGATCCATGTCAAGACACAGAATATTGTAAACACCCCAGAAGCTGCTTTGTCCCCTTCCCCAGTCACAACCCCACCCCACCCACCCCAAGTAACCACTGTTTTGACATTTATGGTAATTATTTCCTTTATGTAATAATTTTACATCCCAAATAATACAGTGTTACATGTTTTTAAGCTGAATGTAAATGAAATAATAATTCAATATTATATTTATGAATAGCTGTAAGTTCATTCACTTTCTTTGTGAAATTGCTTTCCTTATACCAATATACCAGTATATTTGTCCACTCTCCTCTTTTAGTTCACATCTTTCATTAACTCATACACAATTATTTGTCTTCTGGTTTGTTTAAGCAATAAATCAGACAACTTTTGTCACAATAATATCTGTCAGAGTGGCCGGCTGGCCATAAACACTGTAACACCACCATCTGAAGGGCACTCCCAACGAAGGTGTCTACTTTTGCCATTCTTATTGGCCTTATGGTGTTTCAGGACAGCCAGATTCACCTTCTTCTCATGCTTACTCTTCTTGGGAGTAGTGTAAAACTTCTTTTTCTTAGCCCTACCACAAAGTCTCAAGATGAAGAGTCGAATCCTTTTGAATGCTGTAGTCAGACAAAGCACATCCGCCTTCCAGTTGCTTGCCAGCAAAGATCAGTCTTTATTGGTCAGGAGGAATTCCTTCCTTATCCTGGATTTTGGCCTTTATATTTTGTTTTATCCAAGGGTTCAGCCTCAAGAGTGATGGCCTCCCCCTTAAGGATTTTTATGAAAATTTGTGTTTTGGTGATGGTTCCAATATATCCAGATGGCGGATCAGAAAACCCTACTCTTGATGACCATTTGCATTGTTTTCTGTTTTACATGTCATAGTGTTACTATGAACACTCTTGGTATACACATTCCACTACATATGTGCAAAATTCAGCAGGATAGTTACATAGAAATTGATGTGTTGCGTTGTAGTACATGTGCATATTTAACTTTACTGGATAATGCCTTACTGTTTTCCAAAGTGGCTATAGCATTTTATAGTACCACCAAGAGTTCCTGTTGGTCTGTGACTAGACGGACATGAACGTTTTTTCCAGTCTTGGGAGTGTGAATTGATATCTCACTGTGGGTTTAATTCGCATTTCTTATTTACTATGAAGTTGAGCATATCTCATAAGTGTATCGGTCATCAGATTCGGATTCTGTTCAGTTCTGCGTCGTGTTCTTTTTTTTTTTTTTTTTCCTTTTTAAGAGTCATATGTTAGTGACCTTAAAATTCTTCCTGCCCCTTACTTGAGGGAATGTGCTAAGGAATACTTTGATAGAAATCATTAGCTTGTGGAAAGTAGCTTGGATCCTTTCAACTTCTCTCCCTTTTTTCCCCAACCCGTCTGGTGTTTGGGAGGTTTCCTTGTACTTCACTGATTTCTTTCTTCTCCCTCCTTTTTCCTGTTTCCTAGACTCTGAAGCGGCTCATGGCAGATGAGGTAAGGACATTTTGTTTAGCATGTGCATGTTCTAGCTCATTGCCTACACTATAATATTTACCAGTTTTCATAACTTTGACTTTCTGTAACTTATAGTGGTGATATGGCTTCTACTCAGTATCTCAAGGCTTTTTTCCTAACTCTTTGCTCTGTGTTTGGCCCATTGCATGCATTTCCATGGACCTTCATTATCTTCTGAAGTTAGGCATGCTTTTTAAACTCCAAACTGACTTGCAGTCTGAATGCCACTCATATCACTTGAAGCTCTATAATACTTACAGATAATTACTGTTATTTTCTAACGAGGAGAGCTGATAAGCTATTGCTTATTGGGGACTCTTTTTGATGTAAGCATTGGTATTTGAGATTTGAGGAATGGCTTGTTAGCATTTGTTTGGCAGAGAGATGGCATATATACCCCTGAGGTACATTGTATTCTTTGCTGACGAGATGTCATGTAAAGGGGATTTTGAAGAATATATATTGAACTTTTGCTGCTTACATTACACAAGTGCTGTGGAGTGTACAAATTCAAGAGAAAGGAATGAATCCTGACTTTAAGGACACGTTTATCCTATATGGCTTATATCTATTAAATTCTGTAGTAATACCTCTTTAAGGGAGGCATCTTCTGGGGTCCTAGCAACATTTATTGTTGGGTAGCTAGAAGGAAACAAAGGGCATTTTATTGATAGAACTCTGTCATGAGAGGCTTTCAGTTCTGTACTACTTTACAAGACTTAGAAATGGTAGGGGAGATCAAGAACAGTGTTTCTTCTATTGTAAAGAGGTTTGAAATCTTAATACTTTGGTTCTGTTATCTTTGAACATAGATGAGAGTACAGAGTCAGTATGCTAAGTTAGATAGGAGGAAGACTGATTTCTTCTTTTCATGTCAGAAGAGTCTTGAACTGCTCGTGAACCAGAGGAACCATGCCCATGTAAGAGGTTAAAGGGGTAAAGAATTTGATGTGTGGTTTGTTATGTAAGTGAAAATGGATCACTGCTAATGCTTTTTTCTGTTTCTCAGCTGGAGAGATTTACCAGCATGAGAATTAAGAAGGAGAAGGAAAAGCCCAATTCTGCTCATAGAAATTCTTCTGCATCATATGGGGATGATCCCACAGCACAGTCATTGCAAGATGTTTCAGATGAACAAGTTCTGGTTCTCTTTGAACAGATGCTGGTAAGTTTTCCATTCCCAAAATGTTGCTTCTTCCTGGGAATTTATGGGCATGGTGGGCTCTTTTTGATGCATAGTTCCCTAACTAGCACTTTATTACAAAGAATCTCAGGCTTAACATGGAACTTTTTATATTAACCCTATAATCCCATAATTAGGAACTAAATATACAAATACCAGTTCATCAAATTGGAATCTGTATTTGGAAACATCCGATCACTGTCTTGTTCATGTCCTTCTGCCCAGCAACACTTTAGCCACAAAGACATAGTGGACCATCTCACCCTGTGTGCCAAAGATGGTAATATGGAGACCACCTTTGGGTTAAGCCAGAGCAGATAAAGTGTTGAAGTATTCACAACAAACTCTGTATAAAGGAGAAACTGAGAATGGAATATCATTTGCTCAAGGTCCTGTATTTAGTGGTGAATCTGGAAAGAAAATACATAGAATTGCTAGAAGACCTTTAAAGATTGTGTCTGAAGTCAGCTAAGTAACGAAGTATATGTGCATGTGACTTACTTTGTTTTCCTCAGTGAGGAACACCGAATAAGGAGGGTATTCAATGAGTGTCCGTTAGTGGTAAGTCTTGGAAAGTTTTGATGAGTACAGGATTTTGTAAGACCTGTATATTGCATGGATATGTGATCTCAGATTCAAATAGAGACTAGTGGCAGGCCTAGCTTAATTAAAAGCTTAGGTTTAAAATCCTTAGCACAGGGCCTGGTACATAGTAAGCACTCAACTGGTACTACCGTTGTTATTTTTCAATGAATCTTTCAGTTTGTCTCTTAATATTCCAAGTACATTAAGAGTGTAAAGAGTATGGTCTATCAGGATAATCTCTTGGCCTTGGATTGCAAGTTTAAATGTCTCTTGGGCCAGGCAGGTAGTATAAATAAGGTAAGCAGGCTAGACAGAAGATGACAAAATAAGTGGGGAATGTGGCAAATTGAAGAGAGTCTTTTGGCATTTTTATTAGAAAAGCCAGCCACAACTCAGTTCTAGTAGGTGGTTGCATTCCAGTTGGGAATACTTGCCTAGGAGTGCCAGATATTTCTATTTTTCAAAAGAAGTCAGAAATCTGTAATTTAAAAAAAATAATAAATCTTGAATAACATCAAATATCCTAGTCACTATTTGAATTTCCCCAATTAGGTCATTTTTCAAACACTAGTTTGTTCAAATCACAATTCCAAATATAGTCCACTGTACTGATATTCTCAATTTTCATTTAAACTATAGGTTTCCCTTCCTTTTTTTTTTTTTTTTTTTTTTGAGACAGAGTATTGCTCTGTCGCAAGCAGAGCAAGACTTACAACCTCCGCCTCCCGAGTTCAAGCAATGCTCCTGCCTCAGCCTCTCAAGTAGCTGGGATTACAGGTGCACACCACCACGCCCGGCTAATTTTTGTAGTTTAAATAGAGACGGGGTTTCATCATGTTGGCCAGGCTAGTCTCGAACTCCTGACCTTGTGATTTGCCTGCCTCGGCCTCCCAAAGTGCTGGGATTACAGGCATGAGCCACTGCACCTCTTTTTCTTTTATCCATATTATTGATACTAAAAAAAAAAATTTTGAAGAAACCATTTGTTTGACCTGTAGAGTTTCCCACAACATGAAATTTGATGGTTGCATCCATTGGAGCTGTTCTACTAGAGATCTGTATTTTTATGTAAGGTCCCCCAGATTTAAAATGTTGAGCTAGCCAAGTGAAACATTTTATCTTTGGATTTGACTTAACTTGAGGGCCACCATTTTGTAACTTCTATGTTCAGTTTATCTGCAAGAGGAAAAATGCACCTGGCTGGCAGTGGTGGCTCACACCTGTAATCCCAGCACTTTGGGAGACCCAGGTGGGTGGATCACGAGGTCAGCAGTTCAAGACCAGCCTGGCCAATATGGTGAAACCCTGTCTCTACTAAAAATACAAAAATTAGCTGAGTGTGGTGGCGGGCACCTGTAATCCCAGCTACTCAGGAGGCTGAGGCAGAAGAATCACTTGAATCTGGAAACTGGAGGTTGCAGCGAGCTAAGATTATGTCATTGCACTCAAGCCTGGGTGACAGAGTGAGACTTCGTCTCAAAAAAAAAAAAGCACCAGGAATTAAGTCACAAAAACTTCAGATTAATTTTGCTACTTGCAGAAGAAATAGAATACATCCCCCCATCCATATTTTTCTCAATTCAATTAACATTCTGGAATTATTAGGGCTAAATTTGTGCCCACCGAGGTACTAGACTTGGACACATGGTTGTTATATATGTAGAAGGATCAAACAGAGCCTTTCCCCAAACATACATCAGATTATGTCTGTCAAGGTATCTCTGCTTTATCATAGAGTTTCCAATTCTTTCTTCGTGGGAAAGGAGTTTGTACAGGGACTGAGTTAACTGGGGGTAATGGGTTTGTACGCCCTAGAGTTGGTGCAGAGTTTGCTGCTGTTGATTTTGCTTGTGTTTAGATTATGCCATTCATCCAGTGCTTCAGTCTGAAGAGATTTTTAAGGTCCATCCTTGATGCAGAAAGCATTATGTATGGTTTTCTTTCAATAATACAAAATAAATCTTTCATTTTTATTGAGTCCATTTTTCTTAGAGAAAGAGTGTGTATATGTCTATAGAGATTTATACTAAAATGTTAACTTATCTTTGAGGAATTTTCATCAGCTGTAATAGCTTAAATTTCTAGGGATCAAAAAGATTTATTTACTCAATAAGCATTTTACATGCTCAACTCTTCACTAAGCATACTAATATTAAACACTAAAAATTTGTGAGGAATTTGAGGCAATTTTGTTTTTTCTCTTTTTTCTCCCTCTCCTAGCTGGATATGAACCTGAATGAGGAGAAACAGCAACCTTTGAGGGAGAAGGACATCATCATCAAGAGGGAGATGGTGTCCCAGTACTTGTACACTTCTAAGGCTGTGAGTCCTGGGGCAGGTACCCATGACATGGGAGACTGTGCCCTTGTCTTGGACCTGTTTTTTTTTTTTTTTTTTTTGCCAATTTTATGTAACATTTTATGTCTGCATCAATTCGGTTTCATTATATTATATAAGCCTATTCACTTTTTACTCTCTTACTTAGTTGCCATGCTTACATACTTTTTGCCTGGTTAAATTTTCATGAAGTATGTAAATATAGGGAATGGGATAGGCAGTTCTAAGTCTCACATATTTTGGTGGTATGCGAGATGGGTATCTGCCCTGATAAACGTGGCCTGACGTGGTGTCTCACTGCTATAATCTCAGCACTTTGGGAGGCTGAGGCAGAAGGATCGCTGGAGCCCAGGAGTTCGAAATCAGCCTGGGCAACGTAGTAAGACCTTGTCTCTACTAAAAATAAAAAATAAAAATAAAATATAAACTCTATTGACTAATGCTAGTCCCTAATTTATGACTGGGTCCACCATTACTAATCTCTGTCTCTGCCCCCTGTCCAGGGCATGAGCCAGAAGGAGAGCTCTAAGTCTGCCATGATGTATATTCAGGAGTTGAGGTCAGGCTTGCGGGATATGCCTCTGCTCAGCTGCCTGGAGTCCCTTCGTGTGTCTCTTAACAACAACCCCGTCAGGTGAGGATTCTGAGGAGGTAACAGGAGTAGGAGCCGAATGTTGGATTTCACTGGTGGTGATTGACGAGCAAAGGAGCCGGGGAAGTATGAGAATAGTCTGAATTGGGAGTAGAAAGTTGTCAGGATAAACTTTGTTTGGCAAATAAGTGTTTATTAATTTGATATTGCTTTGCCTTTCTCTGTTCCCTACAGTTGGGTGCAAACATTTGGTGCTGAAGGCTTGGCCTCCTTATTGGACATTCTTAAACGACTTCATGATGAGAAAGAAGAGACTGCTGGGTGAGGATTTCCAAGTCTTTGCAACTTCACGTTGGAGAGTCACAGGGGACTTTGCTGTTTGCTCTGAAGTAGAAAGTAGAGTTAAATGTAAAGTCGTGGGCTAGGGGAATGTACTCTTAACTGAGAAGGGGTTTATCATAGTGGTGACTAGAGGATGAATGATGATTATAGATATAGGAAAGGGAGGAGGAACTTAAATTTCATGTTGGATAACTCTAATATATACCATATAATACTATTAGTCTCCCAGCACTGGTTCTTTTTCAATCTGGAAATAAAATCTGATTTAGTGCTGCCCTGTAATCTGGTCTGGGTAATATCTATTTGGAAGTCTTATAGTATACTTGGAACTAGTATTGTGGCATTCTTCAAGATTGGAATAATTTAGGTATACCTTGGACTCTCTTAGGCTACCTTGAAGCCAGCCTGAAGCAGAGTACTTCTGGAATCTTTCTGAAACAAAATAATACATGGCCAAGACCTGCATATATCTTCTCAGACTTGAAACCTCTAGTAGTGAGGCAAGCAGCAGTAGATGGGATGTTATCCTGATAGAATTTAGCACTCAGGAGCCTAGGGAGAGTTAAAAGGAAGGTTTTAATTTAATACTTAATTCTTGGATTACAAGAGGATCAGCCAGATTTTTTGACGGTGAAGATCCCTTTTCAGTTATCTATTTTCTTCAGTGTTTCTGGGCAAAGTGCTATTTCCTAAAATTTTACTCATCTACTAGATGGGGCTATTATTCCTAAGAATCTTGTTTGCAAGATTTAAAATGGGAAAGGGGTAGAGAATAAAGGGACCTCACCTCACTAATTATGTCTTCTATGTACAGGAGTTACGATAGCCGGAACAAGCATGAGATTATTCGCTGCTTGAAAGCTTTTATGAACAACAAGGTGAGATTTTTCCCATTCTCATTCCAAACCCCATCTGGACGCCTGTTCTTTCTCTTCTGTTGGCAAACCCGAAAGAGAAACTAGGAATATGAGGTTCAGGACTTCTGGCTTTCTCTTTTAGTATCATAACTGTTTTTCATTGCCACGTATACATGCTTCTATGGATATTTTTTTCTCAGTTCTAACTTCTGTTTCAGAGGACAGGCTCAATGTCGTTTCTCTTTCTTTACTTTCTTTTTTTTTGTTTGTTTGTTTTTTGAGATGGAGTCTTGCTCTGTCACCCAGGCTGGAGTGCTGTGGCTCAATCTCAGCTCACTGCAAGCTCCAGCTCCCGGGTTCATGCCATTCTCCTGCGTCAGCCTCCCAAGTAACTGGGACTGCAGGCACCCACCACCATGCCCGGCTATTTTTTTATTTTTTATTTTTAGTAGAGACGGGGCTTCACCGTGTTAGCCAGGATGGTCTCGATCTCCTGACCTTGTGATCCATCTGCCTTGGCCTCCCAAAGTGCTGGGATTAGTTGGGATTACAGGCGTGAGCCACGGTGCCCGGCCTCTCTTTCTTTACTTTCTTTTGCTAATTCTTGAATTTCCTGACCTGTAGTTACTGTTTTTGCAATATTTGCTTTATTTCCTGTTTCTTTTTTCTTCTAGACTGGTGCTCCATTTTTATCTTCTTCTTGTCTGTTTAGTAATTCAACCCAGGGAGCCCACAATCATGTGCCTCTGAGGACAAATCTCTCTCGTTGTTTAATTTTGTTGTAATTAACTTATTCCATTGGATTAGGAGGAAGAGAATTAACAAGAAACATATAAACCAAAGACTTTTATTCTTGGAAGACATCTAATTCTGTTGTACCTCCTAGAAAATTAGTTTGGTATGTTCATCTCTAAGTATATTGGGAAAAGTATTCTACCCCTGTATTAGTTTTCTAGTGTACCACAAAATTAGGTGTCTTAACAGAAATTTATTATCTCACAATTCTAGAAAGGCTAGAATTTCAAAATCCAAGGTATCAGCAGGATTGGTTCTTTCTGAAGCTGTGTATGATAATATGTTCCATACCCCTCCTAGTTTCTGGTAGCTTGCTGGCAATCCTTGGCACTCCTTATCTTGTAGATGCATCATCCTGATTTCTGCCTATGTGATCACATGGTGTTCTCCCTCTGTATGTATCTGTATCCAAATTTCTTCTTTTTATAAGGACACTGGCCATATTGGATTAAGGACCCATTCTACCCCAGTATGACTTCATTGTAGCTTGACTAATTATATTTGCAATGAGTATATTTCCAGATGAGGTTACATTTTGTTACTGGGGGTTGGGACTTCAACACTGGAATTTAAGAGGACACCATTCAACCCATAACAACCCAACCCCTAAACTTGTCCCCAGTTAGATGCTATCATCTTTCAGACTCCTTTCTTTGTTCTTGGCCCTACCAGTTTGGAATCAAGACCATGCTGGAGACAGAAGAAGGAATCCTACTGCTGGTCAGAGCCATGGATCCTGCTGTTCCCAACATGATGATTGATGCAGCTAAGCTGCTTTCTGCTCTTTGTATTCTGCCGCAGCCAGAGGACATGTATGTGACTAGAATCATTTTTCTTCTCCATTTTCAATTTTATCATTTTCTCTTAGTTTAGAGGACAATTGAGTTGGTTGGGTATCCCGTCGGTCATAAATACTAGGTAAGATTGTGTTTCTTCCCAGAAGAGAACACTAAGAATCTTAACATTTAAGAACAATTCCAAAGTGATGGGTGCTATCCTGAATGTTCCACTGGTTATCAGAGGTATAGCAAAATGTCTCCCATATCACCATTAATGTCTGTATTGTCTAGGATGAGGGTTTCTTTTTACTATTCTTTTTTTTTTTTTTAAATTCAGAAGTGACACAATGTTATTTTTAAAATTCAAACAATATAGAAGTATATAAAGTAAAATTTAACCGCCTCATCCCTTTGCCAAATCCTGTTCTGCAGAGGCAATGACTGTTAATGGCATGGAATAGTCTCATAGAAAGTTTTCTAAGCATGGACAAACATATTGCATTCCCTTGATTCTAGACATCTGCTACCACAAAAGATAGTATCTTAAGAGCTGAGGAATGACACTTATGCCTATAAAACCAACTGCATATATAGGATAGATTTTTATTATTGAAGAGGGATTTGGTTTAACGAAAGCTTAATCATTCTTTTCAACCTCTTTCTTTTTAATAATAGATGTTGGACATTTCTTCTATGTCCATACTTACAGATCTACCTTATTATCTTTAGTGGCTATTTAGTATTCCGTATACATGTATGTATGACCTATAATTTATTTAACAATTTCCCTGTTGCTGGACTTACAGATTTTTTTTTTTTTCTTTCTTTTGAGACGGAGCCTCGCTCTGTTCCCCAGGCTGGAGTGCAGTGGCGCGATCTTGGCTCATTGCAAGCTCTTCCTCCCGGGTTCAAGTGATTCTCCTGCCTCAGCCTCCCAAGTAGCTGGGACTACAGGAGTCCGCCACCAGGCCTGGCTAATTTTTGTATTTTTAGTAGAGATGGGGTTTCTTCACATTGGCCAGGCTGATCTCGAACTCCTGACCTTGTGATCTGCCTGCTTCGGCCTCCCAAAGTGTTGGAATTACAGGCGTGAGCCACCGTGCCTAGCCAACTTACAGATATTTTTTAAAGCAGATTTCTGTATCTGTTCTAGGTGATCGTTTTTACAAATGATACTGCAGTGAACATCCTTGTGCATATCTTCTTTCACATTTATGCACGTATATTGGATACATTTCTAGAAGTAGACTATATGTTACATGCATGAGAAATTGATTAGTACTGTAAAATGTCCCTCCAAAAGTTGTATCAGTTTATACTTCATGCAACAGGGCACTTGATTTGGTATTTATGGATAGAAGCCTAGGGATGGATTGTAGGGAATGCATTTCCCTGAAGAGATGGTCCTTAGCTTTCAGCAGTTTCTGGAAACTGAGTGGTGACAATAATAATGTGAGAAATCTGGAACACTAATAATGTCCTGTTTCCTAAGTGGTCTGTGCCCCTGTGTAATCTACTAATTTGTGTTAGAGTACCTGGAAAGTTCTCTCCATTTCCTTTCTCTTGGGCAGGAATGAAAGGGTTTTGGAGGCAATGACAGAAAGAGCTGAGATGGATGAAGTGGAACGTTTCCAGCCATTACTGGATGGATTAAAAAGTGGGACCACTATTGCATTGAAGGCATGTATAGCCCCTGAAACTGGGCCCGATAATAGAATTCAAGATGGACAGACAAATCCATTTGACCTTTTAATAAAATACATGGAGTGACTCCCAACTATATATTTTACATTTCAGAATCTGTTATGAAGGGAAAATGATGAACCTTCTTTCTAAGAAGGTAAAGAATGAACTGTTTTCCTCATTATGAGATGGAAAAAGGCATGATATATATTTACAATCTAGGAAAACCGAGACCTACAATAACATACTGTCAAATCCTTGGAATCCATTTAGAGTTTTAGGCTCTCCAGTTCTGTACTCAAACCAGGTCTCATTGCTATAGTAGAAAAGTCATTTTTAGAGTTTTTGTACTGTGTCTTTCAGGTTGTATTTGGGGACCTAAGAATGCATGTAAAGAAAATGGATTCTTGATCTCCAGGAGTTAGCATTGACATAGCTGCTGAATTTTCTTATTTTAGGTTGGATGCCTACAGCTGATCAATGCTCTCATCACACCAGCTGAGGAACTTGACTTCCGAGTTCACATCAGAAGTGAACTGATGCGCTTGGGGCTACATCAGGTGTTGCAAGTAAGATATTACACTTCATTAGAAAGGCTAGACTGGTTCCTTCCTGCTCTACAGCTCCAGTCATCCCTGGGATAATTCTGGTTTTCAATTAAAAACCAGGTTGAAAAGCTTAGGTTTCTAACCACAGAGGATACTTTTGGGTTTCCCTAACTTCTACTTTTGTTGATAGGACCTTCGAGAGATTGAAAACGAAGATATGAGAGTGCAACTAAATGTGTTTGATGAACAAGGGGAAGAGGATTCCTATGACCTGAAGGGACGGCTGGATGACATTCGCATGGAGATGGAATATCCTTTTACTGACTAGGTTCAAGACAGATGAGACATTCATTGTATTTAGTTCCCTGATCCCTGTGTGGAATGGTTTGGGAGATGATGACTCAGAACAGAGCATCGGTCTTATGTGTCTTCTCATTAAATAAGGCAGATGTATTTTTATTGCTGCTGGCTTTACTTACCTTATCATAGACCAGGGAAGTCAGTAAAGGTGATCTGAGGGTTGTTGAGCATGGAAGCCATCAAAATCTGTAAGCTTCCTAGAATGTGATAGCTTAGCTTACTAAGATGTAGAACTGGCTTTTAGAGATGTTTGAACTGACAGAGGGAGTAATTTAGTTACCTGTTAATATTTTCAATAAGTGACTTTGAGGCAGTTACCTCTTAGTTTCTGTCTACTGCCTGATCTTCAAGGCAGTTACTTACTAGGAAACCTCTGTGTGTATAGTACCACCCAACTCACTGGTCCCTTGACTAAAGAACGTTTTAGAGAGCTTAAAGTTTCTGGTGATGTTTACAGGAAGAACAGCCAGTAGAATGGAAGTAGTGTCTTGCTACTTTTCCCTAGCTTTTTCAAGAGTTAAATAAGCCACCTGTCAAACATAATTTCTACATATTTGCTTTCCTTAGCCTATTCCCCTTTTCCACTGACTTTAATGAAGTCTTTCAGATTCTCTTAAACACAGTGAAGGATTCAAAGGCAGAGCCACACTTCCTTTCCATCCTGCAACACTTACTCTTGGTCCGAAATGACTATGAGGCCAGGTAAGATGGTGTGCTTATGGGAAGTTTTGAATTCGAGCCTTAGTGGAGAGAGTGAGTTCCTTAAATTCAAAGTTTGTTCTATAAAGGGAGAAAGTAAAAAAGACCCAAGATTAGGGTTCATTAGTCACAGAAATAAAGGAAGTTGTCTTATTTCTTTAATCCAACTCAAAGACATCCCTATGGAAGAGGTCACAGTGTATAAGGTGAAATGCCCTTCTGTTTTTGGAGGGCAGTAGGTAAATAGGATGAAGATGATAGCAAAGAGAAGTGGCAATTTAAAATTCTTTCTAGTTTCCTAGAAGTATAGATTTAGCAATAGCACTATCCATCACAGGAAGGATCAAACCCAAATTTTTAGATGGGAAAGTGTTGGCACTAGGAGCAGATGGCAAGAAGTTTTGATTATCTGAAGTAGATGGGGTAGGGTAGCTGATGTGGAAAAAGGAGTTTTCTTAGCATGGCAGTGATACTTGTATTAACTTTACAAAAATTTTTCCAGGTCTCTTAGTTGTCAAAGCAGTTTTCTTGGTCCTGAATACTTCTGAAAATTATATTTTGATTTTCCTTTGGTGACCCTGTTTTATTCTCTTGTAGACCTCAGTACTATAAGTTGATTGAAGAATGTATTTCCCAGATAGTTCTGCACAAGAATGGGGCTGATCCTGACTTCAAGTGCCGTCACCTCCAGATTGAGATTGAGGGATTAATTGGTAAGCATACTCTTCTATCTGTCTCTCCCAAGTATTGCTTCTTCCTTTCATTTTGCATCTTGTTTCAGTGAAAATGTCAGAGAAGACACCTTTCCAGTCCCCAGATACTTCCATTTTTGTCGTTTCTTAGGTTTAATAACCAGCATTTTTGCTAGGAATCTATAGGTCTTTAGTTTATTTTTACATAAAACACACACCAGCACCTTTTGCAGGAACTCCTGGTGGTCTCAGAGAGTCAAAAGTATCACTCATAGGCATTCTTCATGCCACCCAGCATGGTGGCCTTACCACACACTCAGATTACATGTTGAACTTAACCGAAAGTTTCATGTCTTTGTCTAGTGCAGAACATTAAGAAAGATAATAAAAATGATCAAAAAGACTGTTCTTTGGAAGGGCTTAGGTATGAAATAAATAGACCAAGAGAATTAGGAGCTTTACTTACTGACTCTTCTTCTTTTCAGATCAAATGATTGATAAGACAAAGGTGGAGAAATCTGAAGCCAAAGCTGCAGAGCTGGAAAAGCAGGTGCATATGAGAGACCAAAAACATGTGTTTGAGTATATCTTTCTTTGAGCATTATTGTTTTCCTGATCTGTGAGACAGTTTTTTTTCTGTGGTATTTTGGAAGCGTTTAGCACCCAATAGTGTAGTGCCCAGGGGAAACCTTTCCAGTGTAGGTTAGTCATTGGAGAAAATGATATGGATGTCTTCATGAGGAGCTCTAGTGGCGGGCTCGCAGTTCTTGGGCTACTGGGCGGGAAAAGAAAGACAGATGATACTCATATAATAGTAATGGCACTCTCAGGTTTGCTTGGCATTTTAGGCCTCTTACGCTTAGAACAATAGGAGCTAGGGTCCTTAGAACAGTAGAACTAGAGGATGTCAGAGTTATCTTTTTCTCTTCAGTTGTTAAGAACTCTTATTGTGGTTAATAGGGTTTTGATCCTAGAGAATATTGGGATTGTACTATCATGACTGTCCTATTTAAATACCTTTAAAATCTTATTATTTGTTTTTAACTATAAAAATAGGGAATCTATGGAAATGAACCGATTCCCCTCTCCTTTAACCTTGATTGTTTTATTTTCATTTTTATTTCTATTTTTTTGAGACAGAGTCTCACTCTGTCATCCAGGCTGGAGTGCAGTGGCGTGATCTTGGCTCACCGCAACCTCTATCTCCCGGGTTCAAGCTATTCTTCTGCCTCAGCCTCCCAAGTAACTGGGATTACAGGCGCCCACCATCATGCCGGGCTAATTTTTGTATTTTTGGTAGAGGTGAGGTTTCACCATGTTGGGCAGGCTGGTCTCGAACTCCTGACCTCAGGTGATCCACCTGCCTCGGCCTCCCAAAGTGCTGGGATTACAGATGTGAGCTACCGTGCACAGCCAGACCTTGATTTTAAGATCAGAATCATGGTGCTTTTTTCCCCAAGCATGGCCTGGATTTGTGAGCTCTGTAGATCAAGTATTGGCCCAGAACTGGAGATGGTAGGAGGAGGGGATTCCAGCACCCCCAGGCAAAAGAGGAGGTGGGGGGAATTATGGGTAATAATACTGTGCTGCTTACTGAGATGGAGAGCTTGCTGGGAGCCTGATGCGTTTTTTCTCTAGCTGGACTCAGAGTTAACAGCCCGACATGAGCTACAGGTGGAAATGAAAAAGCTGGAAAGTGACTTTGAGCAGAAGCTTCAAGATCTTCAGGGAGAAAAGGATGCACTGCATTCTGAAAAGCAACAAATTGCCACAGAGAAACAGGACCTGGAAGCAGAGGTGTCCCAGCTCACAGGAGAGGTAATGCCTGAGCAGGGAAGGCAGAGTGACCTGTAATCTCTGGATGCACATGACTTGGAACAGGAGTCAGTCATCTTACTCCTAAGGAGGGTTCAGCTACTAATAGATAGTCTAGTTACATGGTGCATATTTTAAAAATAATATACTGGTTTTTGGTTTGTGTTGAGGGTAAGTAATACATAAGACAGAAAATCTGGAAAATACAGAAAAACACTAAGAGTAAAGTAAGTTGCATTACCACCCAGAAATAAAGGTAATAAGTCTTCTAATAAATTAGGAATAAAAACTAAACTGTTAAAAATTGGCTAATTTCCTGTTACTTTAATCATCTCTGCACAGATTTATCCTTATATACTCTCTCTGCAGTAGTAAATACTTAAATGATCTTTAAATCAAGTATCTGATAACTTGATTACTTGTGTGGTTATATAATCATCTGTATAGCACATATATTAGTTATATAACTAGAACGTTTGATTTACTTGACTTTGCATTTTCTAATCAAGGGAGAGTTTAACATAAAAGTTGAAATCGTCATCTTAATACAAAGCATACAAAGCATGTTGAACTAAGAACATGAAGACCTGAATTCTAGTTTTGGCTCTGCTGCTAAGCAGTGTGACTTTAGGTGATCATATCATTTCTCTGACTCCTCAGTTCCTCCATTTGTAACATGAGAAGTTTGGATTAAGTCATTTGTTAGGTTCCTTCCAGGCCCAGTAGTCCCTGAAGTGGGGTGAGAAGTACTCACATTGATGTTATTTCTGTAGGTTGCCAAGCTGACAAAGGAACTGGAAGATGCCAAGAAAGAAATGGCTTCCCTCTCTGCGGCGGCTATTACTGTAGCTCCTTCTGTTCCTAGTAGTGCTGCTGCTCCCCCGGCCCCTCCTTTACCTGGTGACTCTGGCACTATTATTCCGCCACCACCTGCTCCTGGGGATAGTGCCACTCCTCCTCCTCCTCCTCCTCCTCCTCCACCTCCTTTGATTGGGAGTGTTTGCATCTCCTCAACCCCTTCTTTACCTGGAGGTACTGCTATCCCTCCACCCCCTCCTTTGCCTGAGGGTGCTAGCATCCCTCCACCCCCTCCTTTGCCTGGGGATGTTGGCATCCCTCCACCCCCTCCTTTGCCTGGGGATGCTGGAATCCCCCCTCCACCTCCTCCCTTGCCAGGAGGAGCAGGAATGCCACCTCCTCCTCCCCCTCTTCCTGGTGGTCCTGGAATCCCTCCACCTCCTCCATTTCCTGGAGGCCCTGGCATTCCTCCACCTCCACCCGGAATGGGTATGCCTCCACCTCCCCCATTTGGATTTGGAGCTTCTGCAGCCCCAGTTCTGCCATTTGGATTAACCCCCAAAAAGCTTTATAAGCCAGAGGTGCAGCTCAGGAGGCCAAACTGGTCCAAGGTAAGAGTTTCTGTCTATTTCTTCACCAGTCAACCTTGAGAAACAGTTTCAGTTTTCTACTTTGTATTTTGTGCATGGATGGGCTGCGCCTTCCTTAGGGCTTACATCTTTCTGTCTTCAAGTTTCACTCATGCTTATGTTTATTCAGCAGATATTAGGCATCTTCTTTATTCCATACATCACCATGGAGAGTTCTATGAACCCTGTACTCTGAATTTAATCTTAACTAAACTTATACTTAATGTTTTTTGCCTTTTCTCTGAGACTTTGAATACCATGGTAACACACGGTTTGATAATAATCATTCACTAGTCTGCAAACTACTGATAATTGTGCTGATCCCAAAGTCATGGATTTATGAATCCACTCTCCTACCCCAATTCCACAGGATGTGAGTTACACAGGCCATTTTTTTTTTTTTTTTGAGATGGGAGTCTCGCTCTGTTGCCCAGGCTGGAGTGCAGTGGCACAGTGTCTGCTCACTGCAACCTCAGCCTGCCGAGTAGCTGGGATTATAGGCGTGTGCCACCATGCCCGGCTAATTTTTGTATTTTTAGTAGAGACAGGGTTTCACCATGTTGGTCAGGCTGCTCTCGAACTCCTGAACTTGTGATACGCCCACCTTGGCCTCCCAGAGTACTGGGATTACAGGTGTGAGCCACCACGCCTGGCCTACACAGGCCATATTTGCATGCACAGTATTGTTCCCATGATGTGTTTGAGATGCCTGTGATTCTGAGTTAGCCTTTTGCTTCTAGAAACCAAGTTAATATAAAGGACCTTAGGGATTTGCTCATAAAATGAGCAAATTTGGCACAGTTAGCCAAACTGGTGGGAAAAATATGATGATGAGCAAAACTTCTCTGAAATAAAGACTTAATGCTTATGAAGCTAGAGGATATGGAGTTAGGAGGAGGATACATAGTATATATGAATCTAGTTCTTGAATAATCACCAATTAACAAATAAACTGGAAGTATCCTCTCCTAATCCCACTGCAGCTATTCTGTGCCTCAAGTTAGTCTTATTTTAGTGAGACATTGCTGATAATCAGCCAGCCACCTATTTTACAGCCTTATCCATTTTCTAGGATGAAAAGTACAGGGCTCAGTTTACTAATTCTTAACACCCTGCCTTTATCCACAGCTTGTGGCTGAGGACCTCTCCCAGGACTGCTTCTGGACAAAGGTGAAGGAGGACCGCTTTGAGAACAATGAACTTTTTGCCAAACTTACCCTTACCTTTTCTGCCCAGACCAAGAGTGAGTACCTTCCTCTTTCATGCAAAGGTCCAGTGTAGGGCTTAGAATATTTTTTCATTAGGTTTCCTATTCCCTTCCTTTCCCTGGGTGAGGATAGAAAGGGTACGTTGGATGGAAGACCGATGGGTTTTCCCATTCAAAAGAAAGAAAATATGTTTTATATTAAATATTATGGAGTTACTTGGTTTGGGAAAGAGAACTGTTGTATGTAGGTATTTCGTATCAGTATAACTTGTAGGGATATGAGATTAAAGTGACAGAGCTTGATTTGGGCCCGTTTTGATGATACTTTTGAACAGATTCTGTCATTGCCTTAACGTGCAATTTCCAGTTCTAAGTACATAATTAATAAGGGTTGGATAGAGTCTTAACAGTTTGGGTGGCTGAGTGACTGTCTATAGTAACAAAGAACCATATGTGATTCCCTTTCTTCCATTTCTTTCCAATATTGGATGCCTTCTCTCTCCTGGCACTTTGCTCCTGCAGCTTCCAAAGGTAAGAATACAAAAGAGCCTTTTAGTTTGGTCTCTTGAATATTAGAGAAAAAGATGAAATAGATATAAAGGAATTTCTAGTTAGAAAACTGAGACCAGAGATTGAGGGTTGACTTGTCTTTGCTAGGTGTTTTTTGTTTTTTGGTTTTTTGGGGTTTTTTTCCTCCCCTGGAGTTCAAAAGGACCAATAGCTTTGGCATTAACTATTAGGGAAGAAAGTTTGTTTCACATTAAACTACAACATACTTAATCTCTTTAGAAGGTGAGGGACAATGTAGGTAATAATACTGTTACCTTACATTTGTGCTGTTTTACAATTTTCATAGTGCCTTAACATATATTACCCTATTTGATATGCAAAGAAGCCTTATGAGACAGGCAGGATGTGTATTATCTCCATTCTGTAGCATATATAGACTCTGAACAGTTAGGTAGCTTTCCCAAGGTTATGTGATCAGAACCAGGAGTCTTGACTTCTGGTCCATTTTTTTCTATATAAATTCTTGCTTTTGTTTTTTAGCCTTCATATGTTTCCTTTTAGTTTAGAAGAGCTGATCTACCTTGCTCTCTTCTTTCTTCACTTCCTAATTCTTGTGGTTTTGTGCTGCCTTGTGATAGCGTACTTGTAGTTACTTCTCCTGAGAGAGATAGTATTTAAAAGATCTTGTCATGTATAATGATAATTATAACCCAATAATTTCATATTTTCATCTTCTTCCAGCAGTTTTGTTTGTTTAGAGACTTACTATGACCCTAGTGATGAAAATTAAGTGCAACTTTGGAGCATTTATTTTCCCTGCCTCCCCCTAGTCAGTTAGTACTTTTACAGGCAATTCTTATTTTTTCCTTAAGTGATCTGATGGAAGCACCTTGTTCTAATAAGGAGTCTAACAGATTTCAAGGTGCCTTGATGGCCCCTAGTTGCATATGAGTGTGTGTGTGTATCTAGGAGTATGAGACCATAATGCTCAGATCTGTCTTGTTGCCCTGTCATTCAGGTCAAAATGGCCTTTTCTTCTAAGAAAACTGTCACCTTCCGTGCCAAAGTCCAGCCTACGGGATTAATTCCACTCTCTTAATTAAAATATTGTGATGGTAACCACATATACTGTATTAGTGTATCAATAAAGACTAGTTGACAAAGTCAAAATTAAATGATTTTCTAATTTGTAAGTTCACGGAATCCCTATGTTGGCCTCTGGCATAAGTTTCTTTCTTGAGTCTGGGCTCTGCACTCTTAGTGCTATTGCAAATGAATACTGACTGGGCCTCTTTTCTCCCCCCACCCCAATCCCCATCCTTTTATTCTGTGCATTTGTATTCCTATTAATTCTAGTTGGGTTTTATACAGTTTAGTGGTCTTCCTTGGCATTATATTCTCATTGTGAATTGGGAATATAGTAGTATTTTTAAAAATACCAAAGTGGCCCCCTTATTCACAAAAGGCCAATAAAAAGAAAACTTTAGTAAAAGATCTTTGTGCTTCTTATTTAGAGTTTAGATTTATGTCAGATAAGGAATTTCAAACTCTCAAAAATTGCAAGCACTCAGAAGACCCAGATCTCAGTATCACAGCAAGTATACTTTACTTCCAGTGCTTTAAACATCTCTAGTATTTATATTTCAGAAAAAGATCTTCATCCTTACTACTATTTTTTTTTTTACTTCTGAGAGAGAGTCTCGCTCTGTCACCCAGGCTGGAGTGCAGTGGTGTGATCGTGGCTCACTGCAGCCTTCACCTGCCAGGTTAAGTGATTCTCCTGCGTCAGCCTCCCAAGTAGCTGGGATTACAGGCACCGACCATCATGTCCAGCCAATTTTTTTTATTTTTGTAGAGATGGGGTTTCACCATGTTGGGCAGGCTGGTCTTGAACTCCTGACCTCAGGTGATCTGCCCACCTCAGCCTCCCAAAGTGCTGGGATTACAGGCGTGAGCCACCACATCCGGCCATCCTTACTACTTTTTAAAAGTAATTCTTGAATACTGAATTGAATATTGAACCAGTTCAGTTTGAATACTGAAGCCAGTGTCAGTTACCAAGTCTGTCATTCATAGTCTTGATATTGATGATATAATTAAATGATAGATAACTACTCTATCAACCTTGTAAATATTTCATCTTCCAGATGAAGTAGTGACATAGATTAAATAACTTTTTCCAAACTGTATAAAAAGTGTCAGAGCCAGAATTCAGACCCTAAAGAGTGACTCCAAAGTCCTTGCTCGAGCCTTCTACTTCTCAGAAGTGTGTATGTACTTGCCCTACGAGTCTCTGAAAGCTTAGATCCGGACAAAAGCTGCAAGAAAGGGGATATACTGCCTTCAGGAACCACTTCATTCACTCAGACACCAATGTCCTTGAATTGGCAGCGACTGAGTAGAAAAAAGGGAACAATAATAGATTAGGGAAAGTAAGTGAGATACTAGATATTTAGGGTTATAAAAGAGAAAGCATATTCTGACTATATTCAACTCTAGCAGAACTAATCCAGTTGAAGAAATAAGACATGTTTATCTAGTAGAAGCACTGCTTAGATGATTTCAGTCCAGGTGGTTGCCAGTGTTGATGAAGCTATTTGGACACTAGGTTTTCATCATATTGCATTATTTCCTCTCTTGCTTGCTAAACACAACTCTGCTATTTGTTAAGCATGCCTGTATCCCCCTTATATAAAACCTTCAGTATACCTAAAACCTTCAGTATACCTACTGGCCCCTCCAAGAATGGGCATTGAAGAAAGCACCTGCCTCATTCTGCACATCTGCTTCCTGTAGTGAAAAGTCTCTTGTTACTGCTTCATTATGGTTCAAGAATATGTGTGCCTTTTTACAAGAGAAGAGCTGAGAGACAGGAACTGGTCCCAGAATTTTATACTCCAGATTCTTTTACACAATATTTCTCTTTTAAGGATTAGTGTCTTGTTTCTGAAGGCTTTGTTTCCCATAAATGAAGAATTTACTTACTCAGTTAACTTATTCCCTGCCAGGGAATATTTTGAATTTACTTTTGATAGGCAGTGCCATAAAACTTCTAGTCCTTTTTCACATTCTCACTTTCCTTATAGTGATCAGCAGGGAGTCTTTTATCATGGACTCTTTGTTGACTCTTTTTGAATTTCTTGGAAACATGTCCAGTAGTTAAATTTCTGTTTTTGTTGTTGTTGTTTCATTTTCTCCAAGCGAGCATTTTCATTGCTATAGTAGCCTTAGGCAGCTCATTATTTGTATGTACAAGATAAACTAGTTTTTCATTTTGTATTTCTTCTCTTACTCTCTGTTGTTGATTATGTGATCATTACACTACCACCTCTTGAACCATAGCATGGTGAATGATAACTCATGTCTTAAGTACAGTGACTTTTATTTTTAGGTTTATTCCTTCCTTCCAGAAACAATATTGAACATTAGACTTGTTAAAGTAAGAGGTGTGTTATGGGAACTGTGAGCATCAGAACAGCTCTGCAAATATTTAATGGCAGTAATTTAGAAAAAACTCTGGCTAAAAAGTAAGACCTTCACTAAGAACTGAGAATTTTATTAAAAAATAACAGTATTCTACTTAGCATTTGACTGTGTGGGTCCAGTACTACTGTTCCAGAAGTCAGAACTGTTAGCCATAACAGATATGTTTTCCTGTCTGCTGCCCTGAAATAATTTTTTTGCTTCAGGTTTCAGCAGGAAGCCTGCTGATTCTTTCCCAAAAAGGATCTAAGGGTCTTTTTCTTTTTCCCTGTGATTCTCTTCTGTCCACTAGATGGCACTCACCCAGTTGCATCTTTATTAGTGAATTTTTGTAGCTTCTGCAGCTTTAACCTTTAGCAGCAAGATTTTGTGAGAGCTCAACCTGCTGTACCTTGTTCATTGAGTCCCTTAGCAGAAGGATGTCTGTTCCATCATTTCCTTACTCCACTCAAGTCGGTAGGATTAGGACTAGTGGTACTAGTCAAGTGAACACTTGTTGGGATTCTTACCTTTTAATTACTTAGCTTCTCTTGGGTTTTGAGTAGGGTCAGACTACTAGCACAAAGAAATTAGGAAGTTCTGTAATATCAGATACTAGTCCCTTGTGATTTAAAAACATAAATCTATGCCTATTATCTGGGGTTACCAGAAGTTCTTCACATGGAAAAAGTAACATAACCTCCTCCAGGTTGTCATCTCACTGTTACTAGTGGTATAAAAAAGGAACCTAAACCAGCCCCTCATATACCGCTCTACACCCCAACCTTTCCATCATCATTTTCTTTTAATCCACTGGATCTAATATTATGCCATTTATCTTGGTTTATGTCACTTACCACAGGCAGCCCCAGACTCCTGGGTCATCCTTCATCTCCCATAGTTTAATCGCGATAAGGTTCTGTGTGGTTCCTATTCTGTCTCCTCCCATCCCACCTAAGCTCCTGAAACTGGTCCACTGTACCCTCTGAAATTCATGGTCCATTACTGGCAAAACCTTTTTCACCTTGCTCTACTGGAAACCTGGTTTTCTCTTCAATACTGCTTTCCCTTTTGCTTGCTCATGTGGTTTGGTTTGGATTGGTTTGGTGTGGTTTGGTTTGGTTTGGTTTTTGAGATGGAGTCTTACTCTGTTGCCCAGACTGGAGTGCAGTGGCAAGCTCTCAGTTCACTGTAGCCTCTGCCTCCTGGTCACAAGCAGTTCTCCTGCCTCAGGCTCCCGAGTAGCTGGGATTACAGGCGCGCGCCACCACACGTGGCTAATTTTTGTATTTTTAGTAGAGACGGGGTTTTACCATGTTGGCCAGGCTGGTCTAAACTCCTCACCTCAGGTGATCAACCCACCTTGGCCTCCCAAAGTGCTGGGATTACAGACGTGAGCCACCACGCCCAGCCCATGGGGTTGTTTTTCTTTGTTCTCATAGACCACACCCCAGTGGACTTGGAGATGGGGTAGATGTAATCTTTGTTCTTCATTGCCACTCTCAGATCATTTTGCCTCTTTCCTAAGAGGAAACAATTCCTAAAAACCAACAATTTCA